GACAGGTGGAAGATGGTCAGTCTGAAGCAAGGATCCTCTGCTCTCCATGGACACTCTCCACGTGACTTGGGACGTGACTTTCTAGGGTCCTGACGTCTATGGGTAGCAGAGCTCTTCCCTTTTCAGACTTGTCACTATCTGCTTGTCAGAGGATCAGGGAAGTGACACCAGAGGGGGACAGGGCTGGATTTCCCCTTCTTCACATGAATTTTCTATGACTGGATAGAGCTCCATAATCTCTTCCTACACCACATCACTAACCTGTCCCATGACATCCTTCCATGTTGGCTTCAAATTGTCACATTTTGCTTGTTTCAGCAAATCCCAAACACCCACACAGTTACTTCAGAGAGAAGGTTATCCCTACCATTAGGCAGATTTAAGCAGGTAGAACATTTGGGATGCCCCAAAAGAGTAGCAAATGCTACTTGTGTATTTACTTTTAATTTATCCTTTTTTAAAATCCCTCAATGGGAGGGAAGGAGTCGTAGCATAGTCTTCTCATATGCAAAAATACTTGGCAGCCAACTTGACATGGATGCATAAACAGGGGTGATGAGAGAGGGCAGTATTTGCTGCACTGCTGCAGGCAGCCAGATGTCCTGGGAAGGGCCAGAAACAAGCCTTGCAAAGTGCATTATATAGTGTGACTTACCTGGACCCTAAAAGGGCCAGATTTTCTGTCTGGAGAAGCAAAGCAACTCACTGTCCTCTCACAGGCAGGGAAGAGCAATACAGCAAAACAACAACAACATGCTGTGAGCACACACTGTTGTTTAGATAAAATATGGTATAAAAATTACTGTACACATTCTAGACACAAGTGTGTGCTCATGAAAGAATACCCTGTGCCACTCCTAGAAAAACATGTCTGACCAAACAAGATGTTAAGATAACGCAAACAAAAACATGATATGAAAAAGCTTTATAATTGCTTATTGTCTCCATAATTGCTTTTCAGTGAGGGAAGCAACCTGTGCATATACACAGTGTAGTGCATTTTGATTGTAAACACAGACAAGTGCATAACTCATTGCCCACACATATGAAACATCACAAATGATCTGCAAAGTGCAGTCGTAGTCCTAAGACAAAGTACGCATGCATGCTGGAGTTGACGCACAGCCAGTTGATCCAGCCAGTTTCCCATCCCTTGTAAGATCTTCTGCTGATCTCCCTTAATGGGAAAATGCAAAAGCACTCCAAATTAATCCCAAACTTGTGTTATGTTATTGGCCTTAAAACAGCCTACTAAGGCATTCCTGTACAAAACAGACATTTATCTATCTAAAAAGGGAAGGATAGGAAGCCACCTGCTAAAGTATTAGCTCCCAGCAGCTGTGGATATATATATTTATATATGTGGAGATATATATACTCTTAAACTAAAGACATATAATCAAACTTTGATTTATTACATGGTATATTACTTTTATTATAGCCCCCGCTCCCAAAAATGGCATACCTGCTTTCTCGCCAGCTAATGCTGACCACTGATTGCAGAATAATGGCTTCCTTCTTCACCAAATGAACATATTTATACAGTGTTCCTCTTACAGTTACACAACATGACAGGAACTTCTAAGTTTAGCATGGTGAACTATGCCAGCTGAAGGCCATTCCTTAGTAGCAGCAACAGTTTAGACAGACTGATTCATCTGTAGGTTCCATGTTAAAAATAGCAACTGAAATTTAAATCTAAATAAAAAAAGATATAGGTTTTCAGGAGAATCTAATCTAAATACTATCTATTCTGCCTCTTTCCATAGTAAAAGAAGAGTGTAGTTATCTGATTATATCTGTGTGGTATTATTTATCAATGATATATTTTTTAAAAATTGTGATCATGATTATATTCATTAAAATGAGCAATAAAAGAGGTCTTCATTGTTTTATTTTTTTTATCTTGGACTAGTGCTGATATTGTGATGTGCCTCTACATATCCCCAGGTTATTTCACTAGCCTGAGGCCCACAACATGTTATCTCTTTTACCCTGCCACCAGTTGACCTCTGTCAACACCCTTTAATTAGAAAAAATGAGGTCCAAGCTGAGTATAAAGTTGAACAAAACAGTTTTATTGGTTATAGTTCACTTAGATAGGTTCTTCACAGACTTTAAAGTATTCAGTAGTCTAGTAATAACTTGTTTCACTCTTAACTCTCTTAGCTCTCTGTAAGTTCTACACTCTTAACTGCCTATCTTAACTACTATACTCTCTAACTCCCACAGATCAACTCTTCACTTCAGACTGTCATCTCTGACTAACTGACTAAACTCCCCTTATCTGGCTCATCCCTCCCTTCTAGTTTCTCTAGCTCTGCCTCCCAACAGCTCCCATTGGTACACACAAATAACCTCCTACATTAGCCAAAGCAGGGTGATCTCCACAGATATACAGATATTTACATTACTCACAATTTCCCCCATATGCAACAGTCCAAATGGGCATACAGCCTTCATGGGGATATTGGGGTTCAAGTGTAACTCTCATCCTGAATGCCTCCTCAATCGAGAAGTCATAGAGGCCTTTACGTGTTCAGTGCAAAGATGTAAAGAGACACCTGGAGGTGCGTCCACTTGAATGCACTTGCAGCACTCATGATTGGCAGCCCAGAGAAGGCAGGGCTCCTGATCACATAAGCACTGGAAACACATTCAGCTGAATGTGCTCACAAATGCCTCTTCAGACCTTTATGCTGAACGTGCAAAGCTCCCAGTGATTTCTAGATGGGAAGGGATGGTGGACATGCAACTTCCATGCACACCTCCATTTCCACCATATTTAAAGCTCTACACAGCTTCAGACTATAGTGCCTGAATATGACACTTGGGGATGAAGGAAGAAGTTACCCGTATTTTTCGCTCCATAAGACGCACCTTTCCATAAGACGCACCAATTTTTAAGGAGAAGAAAACAGGAAAATATAATCTGTTTTCTTCGCTCCATAAGACGCACAGACTTTCCACCCCCATTTTGTGGGGGAAAAGTGTGTCTTATGGTGCAAAAAATACGGTAACCTTTACAGGTAGTGAGCATATAGAACACCTTCCTTATTTCGAGGATCCTATCATTTTCTTACTCCTTCAATGAGAATGTCTGTTAGAATGAATGGAAATATCTGAAAGATTTGTGGCTTCTAGCAAATTGCTACTCTGGGCTGTCTACAACAAATTAAACATATGTTATAGAATAATATGGACAATAGGCTATCCCAAATATAAATCATAAACAATTTCCAGAATTTCCTCCTCTCTCTTTTCTAAAATCCTGCTCTTCAAAATACTTTGCAAGTCTTTAAAAACCCACTTCCTCATCTTGTCTCTCAGACCTCCCTATTGTTGTCAATATATCACTTTTGGTTTTTTTGTTTTTTGTTTTAAAAGGACAAAGGGATTCTGATTGATTCAAGAAAATACAAAATTAAGAGCTATAAGAGCTTATTATACTGGTTCAACTAGAAATAAATGAATCAATGCAGTTATAACCAATGTGAATGCACCTGCCAATTACCATATTTTTCCATTTATAAGACACCCCCATTTATAAGATGGCACCCTTTTCTAACCCAAAAATTAAGGAAACTTAGCTTTGAGTATTCAGTCTCTGGAATCAGAATGTCAGACATTACAGGTCCCTGTTACATCTGAGCCTACAGGCTCCAACTCCAACGAGGTTTATTCCAGTTGGTTTGTTCAGCATCAGCTGACATCAGTTCCATAAGGCTCATGATTGGAGGAAGCTAAGTCTCCTGACTGTAGGAAGCTAAGCCTCGTGATTGAAGGAAGCCTGTTTGCAGAGGCAAGGTATGGGTCCTTTTGTTCTGTCCTTGTTCTCAGCTTACTTCCATGTATAAGACACCCCTCAATTTTTTGAGTAATGATTTCAGAGAAAAGTAGCATCTTATACACAGAAGAAAAGAGAGAGAGAGAAGCCAAACTAGTTAAGAGCCGAGTGTGGAGTGTAGCAGGCCTGCAATGAGCGAGAGCCGTAGCAACTTCCTTCAGTGTTACTGGCTGAAACTGATCCAACACAACAGGATAACAGGATGTGCACTGGACATTTCAACCTACTGAACCAATAGGAGGATCTTGACCCCTATGGATGGCCTCAAATTTATGTCTAAAATGGGCCACAATCTGATTACATGCAGAAACATCTACGTACTGTAGCCCATTCAATTTTCTAGATTCAGTGAAGTCTTGAACCATAGAGTTCTACTTGTTGATTGGATGCCTCACTGTTTCAGTTGATGATGTAGGCTCTCTTCGCAGCTCTGATTACGATAGTGTACCTGTTGGACAATTTCTTTACTGTGGCTAGATTTTCTTCTTTTCTCCCTCTCTCTTTTTGTATTATTTAAGTATTTATTTAAGGACAGGGTAAGGAATACAAAAAATAGGGGGGAATAGGGAAAGGAAAAAAAAGGTTAGGGGGATAGGAGAACACAGAATATACCATCATCCAATCAATTCATATTACAATAACAAATCAACTTTTTTTGCTTTTTCACAGTTTGATTACCCTCCTGCTTTCATCTTATCATTTAATTTTAGTTTAATTCTATGTTACTCCAACACTATCTGGTAATAGCCATTTATACAATACATCCCATCGTTCAGTTTCCTTTTGCATTGAACAGTCTTTCAGCCCATCTGACAGAATATCCATTTTTGTCACTTTCCATATTTTCCCAATAAGATTCTCTTGCTTCAGTGTTTCTTTCTTGAGATTTTTAACATAATGCTTTTTAATTCTGGAAGCTGCATAGGTCACTGGATAACTCTCTATCCCATCTATGTTACCGGGTGTCATGCCCAATAAAGATGGTTCTAAAGTTTGTGCAGCTTCATTTAAGTTTTGTTTTGCATCTAATGTCACCTCTTTTGTCACTTTCATCAGATCTATTTTGCTAAGACTTTCATGTACTTGCTGAAACCCTGTTATTATTATCTTTTGCATAGTAATCTGCCATTCCTTTTCTATTTATTGTACCACTATTCCAAAACTTTGGGATTGAACAGACCAAGTCTCCATTTGTTGTCTTAAATTTTTGGAGGCCATCTCAGGCTTACCAATGAATGGGGTTTGTATAAATAATACTATGCCCTTAACCACAATGATCGCCCCTTATATATCCTTCAACAATTTCCACAATTTTATCAACAATCCAAACCCCTAGTCATAAACCTCCCCTTAGATCTCCTTCCAATCTTTATCCAAATATCATAATATAAAAATCAACTTTTAACCCAGCAAATTCAAAATCAAATAGAACTGTGGCAACTTGAATAAAGTACTTCTAGCTTTTTAGTAGCAATCTGCTAATACTAAACTGCTGTTGATTGAACTACAGTGGTACCTCACTTAGCAACGTTAATCCATGCAGGAAAAACGTCGCTAAGGGATTTTGTCACTAAGCCATTTTAAAAAGCCCATAGAAACACATTAAAACCAGTTTAATGCGTTCCTATAGGCCTCAAAACTGACCTTATGTGAAGATCGTCCATAGGGGCGGCCATTTTCGGTGCCTCTAAAGCGAGGACACACAGTAGGCGGCCATTTTGTTTTTCCGGCGGCCATTTTGAAACCGCCAATCAGCTGTTTAGAAAGGGTCACTTTGCCATGATCGCTTCCCCGTGAACATCGCAAAGCAATGTTTACCCATAGGGACCATCGCTAAGCGATCGCTCTGGCGATGGCCAAAACCCCATCGTTAAGCGATTTCATCGCTCAACGGAGCGATCACTAAGCGAGGCACCACTGTATGACCCAGCCAAACTGCATTCACGAAACTCAAGTCTCTTAAATCCTGTCCGATGGCATTAGAACCATCTGGGATTCTTTTCGAGAAACATAAGATTTATTTTTCCATCTCACTCTCTCGGCTTTGAAATCAGCCTGATATATTAAGAGTTCACTTGGGGAGGAAAGTTAGTTTCGCTTTTGAGGCAGACTGATAAGATAGGCTCGCCACTGCTTTTCTTCTTTCATCCAAATATTTTCATTCTTATTTTCAGCTTAATGGGGCTGTTTCATAAATCAAAGGCTTCAGCTTACTTAGTTGTTATATATTTTAAGCTTATATTGGTTGTTCTCCTCTCCCCGATAAAGGGTTACTCATGGCTCCATGCCAAATATGGCATCTGCTCTGATCTGTGCTTGGGTGATTTCTTCAGAGGGAAGAAGTACAGGTTTGCATCCCTTTCTTCTCCTTCTGCTGCTCAACATCTGCTTCAGAGAGACTTCTCCTAGACTCTCCTTCGATACCCATTTCAAAAAGGGGATCCCGGACCGGATGGTTCCAGTTTTTCCAGAGAGAGCTCTTCTCTGGAGCTACTGGCAGCACCTTCTGAAGGGATCCGCCTCCAAATGTACTCTAACCTTTCCCTTTCCCTCTGTCCGACTTGTCACCCGCTACGTTGTCCAGAAAGCCACCATCCAGAGTCCTCCACAAAATTGTAGACTTGACAGCTGAAGCATTGCCACAAATTCAGTGGGCCTCTGCGTGATTTTAAGCAACACTTCCCACTACTGTAGTG